TTACAAAGTAAAAAAGATAAAAATGGTAATTTATTAGGATTGAATATTAAAATTGAAGATAACAATGTTACTTTAATTACATTATATGGTCCAAGTAGTGACAGCCCTGATTTCTATGACAAAGTAGGTGAAATAATTGAGGAATTTGATAATCAGACTGTCATTGTGACGGGAGATTATAATTTAGTGCAAAATCAAGACCTTGATACTTTTAATTACTTAAATATGAATAATCCAAAAGCCAAAGAAAAAGTTCTAGATATAAAGGAAATTTATAATTTAACTAATCCCTTAAGAGAATTATATCAAGAGAGTAAAAGGTATACTTGGAGGAAACCAAACCCTATAAAGCAGGCCAGACTAGATTATTTTTTAGTTTCTCCGAGCCTTTACCCAAATATACATGACTTAAAGATACAAAATAGTTATAGATCAGATCACTCGCCTATTATTTTACAAATAAAACTTAATAACTTCAGTATTGGGAGGGGTTTGTGGAAATTTAACAACTCTCTTCTGTATGATCCAGATTATGTCCATATTATTAAAGAGGTTATAAATAAAACTAAAGAGCAATATGCTTCTCTTGTATATAACAGAGAAAACCTAAACTTAGTAGACTCTAGTGATATCGAGTTCACAATTAGTAATCAATTATTTTTAGAAACATTATTAACTGAAATAAGGGGAATAACAATATCATATGCTTCATTTAAAAAGAAAGAAACAAATAAATTAGAATATCTGCTAGCTGAAGATATAAACAAGTTGGAAGAAATAACCCAAACAGATGAAATTTTGGAACAGATTGAAAAAAAGAAAACAGATCTCAAAATTCTAAGACAAACTAAATTGAGGGGTCAATATATAAGGTCAAAAACACAATGGGTAGAAGAAGGAGAGAAACCATCAAAATAGTTCATGAATTTAGAGACAAAAAATTACTTAAATAAAACAATTCCTAAAATAATTGATAAATCAGGAAATATAATTGAAAACCAAAAACAAATTATAAACGAAGCCAAAAATTATTACAAAAATCTATATTCCAAAAATCAGACAATAAAATCTATTAATTTGAATAATGCTATACCCAATAAAGATATACCAAAATTATCGGAAAATATGAAAGAGTCCTTAGAAGGGGAAATATCATTTATGGAGTTGACTGATGCAATTAAAAGAATGAAAAATGAGAAAAGCCCGGGATCTGATGGATACACAAATGAATTCCTAAATTTTTTTTGGATAAATATAGGTAAATTTGTACATAGATCAATTAAATATGGTTATAATCAAGGGGAAATGTCTATTACTAAAAAAAAAAAACAAGGTATTATAACTTGCATACCAAAAGGTGACAAACCAAAGCAATACATGAAAAATTGGCGTCCGATCAGTCTTTTAAATACTATTTACAAATTAGCATCAAGTTGCATTGCAGAAAGGATAAAATCGGTTTTATCAATCTTAATTAATAATGATCAGACAGGATTTATACCTGGTAGATTTAGTGGTGAAAATACCAGATTGATATATGATTTACTACACTACACCGAAGAAAATGATATCCCAGGCATTCTCCTCCTCATTGATTTTGAAAAAGCTTTTGATTCTATCTCCTGGATTTTAATAGAACAGGTTCTTGATTTTTTAAACTTTGGAAATTCCATAAAACACTGGGTTAAAACTTTTTTTACAAATACCAAATCAGCAGTAACACAGAATAATTTTCTTTCAGACTTTTTTTACAATTGAGAGAGGTTGCAGGCAAGGGGATCCTTTATCCCCTTACATCTTTTTGTTATGTGCTGAAATTTTAGGAATACTACTTAGAAAAAACGAAAATATTAAAGGTATTACTATTGAAGACTCAGAATTTTTGATATCGCAATATGCTGATGACACCACATCCTTAGATGCATCTCTTTGTGTTTTAGAATTATATGCTGAATGGTCTGGTCTCAAGATGAATTTAGAGAAAACAAAGGTAGCTTGGATTGGGAAAAAGAAATATAACCAAGATACAATGTGTGCACAGTGGGGATTGGAGTGGGGTTCCAACAGATTTACGCTCCTGGGTATTAAATATTCGGTTGACTTACAAGAAATGGAAACACTAAATTACGAACCCAAACTTAAAGAGATAGAAAGAACAATGAAAAGTTGGTCAAACAAATATTTATCCCCAATTGGAAAAATTACTATAATTAAAAGTCTTATAATTTCAAAACTCAATCACTTATTTTTAACTTTACCAAATCTTAACAATGGATTACTTAATCAATTTATTAAAAATTTATTTTATTTTATTTGGGATGGTAAACCAGACAAAATTAAAAGAGAAACAATTGCTCAAATATATGAACTGGGTGGACTTAACATGTTAAATCTAAAACAATATATAAAAGGATTAAAACTAACTTGGATAAGAAGAATAATTAAACAGAATAATAATTATTGTAAGTTATTAACTTGTTCTGAAAAAATTAAATTAAATGAATTGCTCAATGATGGTCCAAGAACACAAGTAAGAAATCCATTTTGGCAGGAGGTTTTTAATGCTTGGACTGAACTCCAAATTAAAGTGGCTGTTAAGAACGAATATGACTTTACCGTATCTAATCTTTGGAATAATAAACAAATTAAGATTGGTAATCAAATCCCTCTGTATAAAAAATGGACTGAAAAGGGAGTCTGGCTAATAAATGATTTAATTGATAATGATGGGCATTTAATGAACTTGCCGGAATTTCAAAAAACATATCATATTGATACCAACTTTCTTATATTTCAAGGAGTAATCTCAGCAGTTAATTCCTATATGAAAAGTCTTAATATTAAATGTAATCAGCTTTTAAAGCTTTATGGGCCAATTATACCAACTACTATTGCTATATTTCTGAAATCTACAAAAGGATCAAAAGACATGTACAATGTTTTAAACCAAAAAATAATAAATATCACATCACAGGAAAAGTGGTCAGTAATCCTAAATAGACAGAATATTATTTGGAATAAAGTATATAGACTGCCATTTTAAGTTACTAAAAATTCAAAATTACAGTGGCTCCAATACAGGATTAATCACAGAATTTTGGGAACAAATAAATTACTCTACAAAATTGAAGTCTCATAAAACAATAAATGCACTTTCTGTACGGACTCGATAGAAACTATAGAACACATATTCTGGACATGTCCAAAAGTATTTGATGTTTGGGAAGACCTTAATAAATGGATATATTCAGAAGTCCAAATTGAACTACCACTTAATTTAGATATAGTCTTATTTGGGATATTAGAAAAAACAGAAAAAAACTACATAAGAAACCTCATAATATTATTAACTAAATATTATATATACAAAACAAAAATGCAATGTGGACAAGTAAATATTGTAGCCTTAAAAAATTATCTTAAAGAAAATTTGTTTATTGAAAAAATAATATTTTATAAAATTAACCATTGCAAGGAGCGTACTCCTGCTGGAACCCCTGGCTCCAACTAATAGAATGACTATACAAGTAAACTTTTACGTAATAAATATATCTACCCAATCCATGCTACCCAGGTTAGTTTTCTCTTTTTTTTACCATTATTATTAATTTTAAGTTTGTCAAATGATTAAAAATATCAACTATATGTACTTGTCTCAATTTTGCTGATGTACTAAGGAATTAATTACTATGATGATTTATATATGAAGCTTTTGCCAATAAACACATTACAAAATAAAAAAAAAAAAAATTGTTTTATAAATGGATCTTACATACATCAAATGTTTTGTATATGGATCGTACATACGTCAATGTTTTGTACATGGATCCTACATACGTCAATGTTTTGTACATGGATCCTACATAGGTCAAATGTTTTGTACATGGATCCTACATACATTAATGTTTTGAACATGGATCCTACATAGGTCAAATGTTTTGAACATGGATCCTACATACGCCAATGTTTTGTACATGGATCCTGCATACATCAATGTTTTGTACATGGATCCTATATAAGTCAAATATTTTGAACATGGATCTTACATACATCAACGCTTTGTACATGGATTCTACATACATCAAATGTTTTTACATGGATCCTACATACATCAAATGTTTTGTACATGGATCCTACATAAGTCAATGTTTTGTACATGGATCCTACATAAGTCAAATGTCTTGTACATGGATCCTACATACATAAATGCTTTGTACATGGATCCTACATAGGTCAAATGTTTTGTACAAGGATCCTACATACATCCAATGCAATGTACATGGATCCTACATATGTCAATGTTTTGTACATGGATCCTACATACGTCAATGTTTTGTACATGGATCCTTCATAAGTCAAATGTCTCGTACATGGATCCTACATACATAAATGCTTTGTACATGGATCTTACATAGGTCAAATGTTTTGTACAAGGATCCTACATACATAAGATTCAATGCTTTGTACATGGATTCTACATACATCAATTAATTTGTACATGGATCCTACATACGTCAATGTTTTGTACATGGATCCAACATACGTCAATGTTTTGTAAATGAATCGGACATAAGTCAAATGTTTTGTACATGGATCCTACATACGTCAATGTTTTGAACATGGATCCTTCATAAGTCAAATGTTTTGTACATGGATTCTACATAGGTCAAATGTTTTGTTCATGGATCCAACATAATCAATGCTTTGTACATGGATCCTACATACATCAATGTTTTGTACATGGATCTTACATACGTCAATGTTTTGTACATGGATCCAATTTATATCAAATGTTTTGTACATGGATCCTATATACGTCAATTTTCGTACATAGATCCTACATAGGTCAAATGTTTTGTACATGGATCCTATTTATTTCAATGTTTTGTTTACAAACTTGAATACTTCAACTGTTTTGCAGGAAGAACTCAATAACTACGACCTTATGATTGCCATGAAGAAATAACAGACAATGCATTAACGATAATAAAAACACTGAGCAATTCTTATTTTTTTCATTTCAACTTTGGAAAAACAAAGTCAACTTCACGAAGAGAATGAACAAGGTTTATATGTGGTGCTGCACCAAATGATTGAACTCCAATCTCCAACTTGCTCTTGTATATCTCCCAATTTTCAACATCTATTTGGTTTGAAAATTCTGCTTTTATTTCACTGACATCATCAAATAGTTCTTCAACTCCATTACAAAATAATTTGTAATTCAAAACCATCCAAAGTGCAACAATTGACACACCTTGTAATTTAAAATCTGACTGACATATCAGTGGAAACTCTGTGGACCACACTAAAACATCATGAACAGGTTCATACATTACAATATAAAACTCATTTGGACAAATGATAATGTTTGGTATGAAAACTGCAGAAATTGGATTTATTATCTGGTATGCTAGGGCAAACACAACAGTTTCTGAAGTAGCTCTATCCTGGATTTTATTCAAAGAAGATTCTTTAACGCTTTCACTTAAATTGTAATCGTCCTCCTCTTCATTTCCATCTGGAATTTATAAATATAATTAAATGTGAATGCTTCAATGAATATAAATGCACAAATCATTTGACTCTATTTTAATTTACTGTACTTAGTGATGCAAGTTTGAAAAGACTGATAAACATTATTTTATCTTGTTCATAAATAAATTACAAAATATAGGAAAATGGTTGATGAATGCATAAATCATAAAAAGATAACTTTGTAGAAAATGAAAATCAAAAGCTCTTTATATGTAGATTAAGATAGCAACAAATAATGATTATGCCTTATTATCAGATGATAAGACATTAATCAATGTTGTATTTATTTAACCTACAAATTAAATCCATCTCTTTAGTGAAGAATTCTGAAATCATAAAAGTTTAGAAATGAACAATTTTATCAGAAAAAGAGGCAATAAAATCCACTTAGTTGACACTGAACATCTTGAGACATCAGTCCAAAATAGCCTTATCAGTATTTTGTGAAATTGGAAGAAGGTGTTTGAAAGTTCCAAAAGTGTGACTAAAATTTTTGTTGGAATTCTGTCTGCAAGTTTTGGTTCTGAGCATCGTGTATGCGTTTCATAAAATTTAGATGAGGAAAACTTAGGTTAGAGGGGACGGAAAGACAGACAGACGGAAGAACTGACAGTCAAGGGTAACACTTTTAAAATGACCCCCATTACCTACGGAGGGAGCATATAAATAGATATGCTATTATTCCTGACTCCTCTATGGATTGATAACTGATTCTGATAAAATTACATGACTTTGAAGATGGATGGATGGCATATTTTGTTTTGGTGTATGAAATGGGAATTACTTTTTTCATTTTTTGGCTATATCTTTTGATATTTCAATTTAATAGTTGAACTGCTTATACATCTTTTTGCTAGATGTTAGTAAGATTAGGAAAAAGAAGTTTTGAATTGGGGGTTTAGATTTAATTTTTTAATTCTTAAATTCATACTTTTTTTAAAAGGGGTATTAGCTGTCAAATTCATGTTTACTGATTTGACTTAAATTCTCATTTATTACATACTTAAATCAAATTTAAAAAAAAAGTCTAAACTAAACAATTAACAATGCATAGACTTGATAATATATATCAGCATTTCGTGTGTATTTTCTTATTGATAAATAAGTATGATATTGTTGCATAATTTGACAATTCATAATAAACAATGTCCCTTTAGCGCACTATCCCATTTCGATGTTCTGCAAAATTTTGGTCAAAACCCTAAATTGGCATATATATAAAAAAAATTGAGAGATAGTTGGCACAAAAAGGTTACAAAAGCCATTTCAGGGTAATAACTCCTGCAAAGTCTCCATGCATAAAGGACTAGAGCCAGTAACCCCAATAAACAGCCCTGTAAACATGTATTTATAAAAACTTCAATTGTTTTGAGTAAATATAATGTGTATGTATTCCTAAATGTATTGTTTTTGAAAGTAAGATAAGAACAAGAGTGCACATGCTGACATGTCCATGATTGATTTAATGTTGAAAGTCTTTAAAATAAAATTTTAATACAAGAATCACATAAACTAAACATTATCAATAATCAATGACAACAAGGTCACATTAACCCTAGCAGACATGTACACCTTACAATCATTCCTTGCACAAAATATAGTTGACCTATTGCTTAAGTCTCTAAGAAGCAGACTTAACAAGGAAAACCTAACATTAACCAATGAACCATGAAAATGAGATCCGTGTAAAATGAAACATGTCAGATAGACAAGTACCGCTTACAATCATTCAATGCACCTAATCTAGTTGACCTTTTGCTTATAATATCTAATAAACAGACATAACCAGGAAAATTAAATATTAACCAAATGAACCATGAAATTTAGGTCACCGTCAATTGAAACATGTCAGACAGATTTGTACATCTTACAATCATTCCATACACAAACTAAAGTTGACTTTTTACTTATAGTATCTGAGAAGAAGACCAAACTACAGAAAACTTAACATTGACCAATGAACCATGAAAATGAGGTCAATGACAAATAATACCTGCCAGACAGACATGTACACCTTACAATCATTCCATACACTAAATATAGCTGACATATTGCTTATAGCATTTGATAACAGATCAAAACACAAAAATAAAAAAAAGTGACCAATGAACCATGAAAATGAGCTCAAGGTCAGATGAAACCTGCCAGACTGACATTTACCCCTTACAATCATTCCATACACCTAATATAGTTGACTTACTGCTTATAGTATCTGAGAAACAGACCTAATCATGTAACTGATCCATGAAATGAGATCGAAGTCAGGTTAACCCTGTCAGACAGACATGTAGACCAAATATAGTTATCCCTTTACTTATAATAAGTGAGAAATTCACATGACAAAAAAACTTTTTTCAAGCAGTCACTGAACCATGGACATGAGGTCAAGGACAATGGACACAAACTTCATAACATAAGGTATCTGCATACAAGGAATGAAATATCCAGGACTTTCTGAAATATAAAGCTTTAAACAAAAAGTTTACACCACCTACATTACTGATCCCGCCAGATAGTAATCCCTATGTCTTGCATTCTGGGACTTGCATTGCAGGCGTGATAAAAATTGTATATCTGCTTCATATACTATAAATATATTAGCCTGAAATAGGAATATATATCATTTATTATAAGTCTTTTTTCTAGAAATTTGTCACCATTTTCAACCATTAAAATTTTGTTGGAAAAGGAAAGAATATAGTATATATAATGAATACTTCAGCAAAAAATATTTTGGGGAGAGGGGTGGCACCACTGTAAATTAAAAAGAAAATGTCATAAATTCTGCCAAATTATGCAAAAAATCAGGTTTTAATGAAATAATGTATATTTATGACATCACAAATACATCACTAATAACACAATTTGTGGAAATCTTTTTTAACTGAAATTGGACATTGTAACATATGTTTTCATCTAATTTTCACAACATTATTGAAATAAAAAAAAATCAGATTTTTAGGGCCAAAATTATGAGTTAGCTAACCAACTCCTTTCGTGTAAATGGAAGGAAGATTGATTTCAAATTTATTACCATTATATATATTTATAAATCTTTAAGAATTCAATTATGCTAATAAAAAATTACACTCATTTATTTTTAGTTGTGGCCCATTCTTAATTAAACAGAAACAGTAACAATCTAGAACTTTTGTCAGTCCAAGATTTTTCTGTTTAAAAATGCATGCACAGTTTTTCATACCATATGCTTTTGCATAGAAAGCACATTATAATTAGAACTTTGTCTTAGACTAGCAACATTATCCTCATTTCTTGATAAGCAATTATAAAAAGTCAACATAAGGATTCCATAAATAACATATTATTTTAATGGTGATCTTTGACTAATAATTTTAGAACACTTTTACCTGAGGTCTTGATTTTTTTATTTTGAGATGGCCCATCATCATTTAATGCTAAATATACACTGGCTGTTGATTCTGGCTTGTGATCTGAGGATGTCATCATAATGTCTACAAATCCGTGCCATACATCTGCATGTCCTTTAAAAATAATGTCATTTATCATGTTTATAATTCAACAACATCTTTTTAAGAATCAAAATTGAAAAAAAACAGATATAAATGTGCGGCCCAAAGTGCTTTCCTGGGTTAACTTTCATCAGAAACTCTCAAAGCCATCTCTGATTGATTACATATAGAAAGCTGTATGACGAGAAAGGACCTTAAAAGAATATAGTAAAATTTTTGTAGATTAAACATTGCTTGAAGAATTTTGAACCTTAGTTTCTCAATAATTTCTAAATTTATCAACTGAGAACCCATTTAGAGAAGGTATATTATTAATAAAAGCACTGACTACACTGCTGATACCCTCAGGGAATAGCATTTAACCAGCATCCAAACATACAAAACAAACATTGTCATTGCTTGTGCTAGATAAATGTCAAATATGCCTAAAAACTCTACTTACATTTATATCCACCAATTTCGCAACCAGAAATTGTTATTTTTTCTTAACTTAAAGGCATGAACGGATAACATACACAAGTCAGCCTATTAAGACTATTGGAAAATAAGAATCAATGCTGACACAGATATTTAGTACAAGGGTCTACTAAATAACTTATTTCACTTCTAAGAAAAATGTTAAAATCAAGAAAATTGAAAAATAAACTGTTGCCTCTGACACAGATATATCTCTCAGGTCTGCAAACAATTTATGAAAGACAATCTGATGGACAGCAACATTGCTGATTGATTCAAAGTTGCTGGACCATGACAAAGAGGGTAGCTCACCAAAATGATCGTCAAACTGAGATGTACTGATAGTAATGCAACTTTATAGAAAATATCATTGATCTATAACAAGTAGTTCCTATCAAACTAACTTGAGTAGAAAACTTAACATTGAAAATTGCTTATTAATTGAAAGTCAATGGACCATGACCTAGGAGGCAGGGCTTTAAATAGTCATCAAACTGATATGTATAAATAGTAATGCAACTTAATAAAAAATATCATTGATCTATCACAAGTAGTTCCAATCAAATTGACTGAAGTTGAAAACTTCAATTTTTGATACTGGCAATAAAGACGCCACGGTAAAAGCAACACCTATAATGTATTTCTCGCCTTCCAGGACTTTCATTGCAGGTAAGACAAAGACCTGATAAAGAAAATTGTATAGGCTTAAATATTTTAAGCATATTGTAGAAAACATTGCGATTAAAAACTGTGATTTACTCACTGTAAAATTTGATTGATGAAGAAAACACATTTATCAGATATTAACACTGATATAACAACAATTTTGGGGTTATACTTGTTCCAGTGAATTTGTAAATATTGGAAGATGAAAGAAAATTTGACAGATGTAAATTTTCTTTACAATACTTATAAAATGATAAAAAATAGAAGTAATTATCTTACAATCCCTAAAATTATTAAGTTTTGGGATGTATAAACGTGTCTCAAATATTTCCAGGCTTGTGTAATTTGTGTAATGATTTTAACTAGAATTTGAACTTTTACATCTGAAGAACTTAACAAAGAACTATTCTATGCAAAGAATTTAAGTAACTGGCAAAATGTTCTCTGGAGGCTGGTAAATAAGCACTTCTTGAAAATAACAAAAACACAAACAAATAAGATTTTAATTGTCCATGAAAGTATATTTATATATAAATAGCAAAGAAACCCTTAAAAACAGGCTATTAGACACCCTAATATAGCAATGAAATCAAGAGAAAATCAAGAAGATATTACTTTCTTACACATTTAAGTAAATCAAAAACTTAATGACAAAGGGAGATGACTCTAAAATTATTACCTGAACCAGTAAATAAAATTCATTTGAACAAGTACTGACCCTGGCTGAAGGTGAAATATATGTAAACATTTTGTGGTGATACATATCTTACAAAGTCTATCCGAATCGTTTTGCAAAGAATTCTGCTCAAACTGGTGCTAGGGGTTGTCTTAAACTTGCAGTGAGGCAACTTTTTTTTGTTGCTCTGTGTTGAAGGCCTCACTGTGACTTTGAGATGAAAAACAGCAATAAAAGTGCTGTTCCTTTGCTTGCTATGTATGTACTGATTTTGTGTCATGGATGGATACACCATATCCTTTGTTTTTCTATTACATACATGTATGTACAAATGTATACCAGGCTCTCAAGAATGGTACCAGCCCATACTACCAGCCAAGTAGTTAGTACTTCTGTATTCACATAAATTATCATTGATATGGACATAATTACAAATTAACTGTTTACAAAACTTTGAATTTTTTCGAAATACTAAGGATTTTTCTACGCTAGGAATAAATTACCTTTAATAGCTGTATTTGGAAAACCTTAAGGAATTTGGGTTGACAATGCTCTTCAATTTCATACTTCAATCATGTCAATTGGCCTTATTAACTTTTCTGATTCAAGCGTCACTGATGTTTCTTTTATAGAAGAAACTATGTCCGAGTACAATATTTTAAACCTGGTAGGGAATGATTTCATAGAAAACTAAATGACATGCTACTATTTACCTATTCCAGTGGCACCAAAACAGATTTCTGTGTCACAGCCACACTTGCATTTGTTATCTATTTTTTCTTGACAATTATTTCCTTTGTCTTTTATCCTTGAATCAACAACATACTGTTGTCCCGGAGAAAGCTTCCCAAACAAGTGTTCTGCTAATGCCATTGCCAGTACACTTTGTTTATTTTCTGTACTTTTCATCTTTTCCAAAGTATTCTGTATGTTTTTCTCATGAATATCTAGAAGCAGAAAGACATAAATATTCAGCTGAATAAAAACATCAGTACATTGTTATGTGGTTGGATAAAGCACTGAGGTTTAACAATATGCTCTGCTTTAATCTTGTTAGAATGAGATCCTTTAATTACTCCCATTCTGATATGTCAACCATGAATACACTTGATGCAGAACATATCAGAATGGCAGAAATTAAAAGGATTGGCTCTGGTCAAACATGAGCAAAAGTTTCACCAAGTTTTAATAGTTGTTGGTGTGTATACAAAATTTGAACATTAATTACATGTATAGAAAACATACATGAGCAAAACATCATTTAGTGTAGTCAGCTAGAATTATCACAATATTTTTTAAGCTATACATTTTGTAGATTCCAGATTTACTTCAACAACTGATGATACTGCATGATAAATAGATATAGAATAATAGAAAAGAAAGGATATAGGGTATCCACCCATGACACAAAATCAGTACAACAAACATGAATCAAAATTGTTACAATTGATGCTATATTCACCCCTTAACATTGTCCTTTCAATAAAATAAAACCTTCAGCTAGGTTGTTGGACCATGAAATTTTCATATTTTAGCATGGAAAATATCAATACACATTAGATAATGAGGTTTAAAGGTTGGCTGTGGACAGGTGGACATTTGAAAAGAAGACATTGTGTAAAGTTTGAGGTTGACTGGTGGACAGTTGGCAAGTAGATATAGTATATTAGAATAACTAGTTGACAGGTTGACATTTGACATTATCTTAATAATTTTTATCCTTGAAACAAAATGTTTCTATGATATAGATATTTGTTATTGAAGTTGTCATTCTTCACTCAGTTTTGTTTTCAATATAGCAGGTAAAAATATAATGCTTTTCAACAAATGAAAATCACAGTTGAAATCCATTTAAAAAATGGACTGGTCCTCAATTCGTGTAGTGTCAGACTACACAAAAAATGAAGAGTCTATGTATCCTTATCCTATGAAAATCAACATGCATCCCAAAAGTTCGGACATGAAATTAATAATGTGTTGTTTTCATTTTTTATTGCCCCATGGCAGTGATCTCAGTAGTCAGGTCAAATGGCACAAAAGTGGTCCATGGCACTTACAGCTTTAGGAAGTGATAGGTCAATGTTTATAATATTATCATTTAATTCAATAGAATTTTCAACATCATACATGCATATATATCTGAAAAAAAAGTCACCATTTTCGAAACAAAACAATTATGGTACCTAAAATTCAACTCATGACCTGTCAACATGTCAACTGAATAGTAATATATATAATTCTTATAAAACTGAATAACTTATAATCAATCCTCTTTCTTAAAGCTGTAACAGTAATAGTTTCAACAGGTCTATAGATGTTGTATTATGACTATAAGACATATAAGTGCTTAAATATAATACACTTTCTTTGAATAAATATGATTGAATGTTACGTCTATTAAATTCTTAAATTTTGCACCCAATGTTATATATCGATACATTTATATATAGAGGAAAGAGGTAATGGTAGTTTACCATTGTTCAAATCTCAAAGATACTTATCATGCTTATGGTAAATAAAAAAAAATAAACTGTGGGAACCCCTACAGAAAAAAAAAGTTGAAGGCCAGTTGAGGGCCATGTGGTGGACAGTTGAGGGCTAGCTGTTTTAAGCAAAATAGTTGAGGGCTAGGTGTTGAGCATCTTAGCTCAACTCAAACCTGGCCAAGCGCTGTATGTTTGATAGATGTCACTCAACTGGCCCTCAACTGAAGCTGGCCATTAAGTTGAGGAAAAGTTGAGCAATTGATCTTTGGTTTTCATATAGTTGAGCAAAAGTTGAGCATTCAGACTTTGAATTTTTTGAATTTTTTGTAGTTTAAGAAAAGTTGAGCATTCAGACTTTGATTTTTTTTGTAGTTGAGCAATTGATCTTTGGTTTAATTTTTCATATAGTTGAGCAAAAGTTGAGCAATTAGAAATATGAGCTGGTGATATAAATGTTATGTGCCATCTGTTTTCCATTTATCTCTGTGTATAATGCAAGTAGACAGGAAGTACTATTATAAATGTACACAGAGTTTGAGGCCAAATTAAGGGAAGCACATGTTTTTATACATTTTTCTGTATTTTAACTTAACTATAACTCATAACATAAAGATAAATTAAAAAAACAAACAGTATTTTTTTTATTATAAGATATATCAAATATTCATGATTACGGTAATTAACAGCTATTATTAGGGGCAAATTTCAAAGGGATCACACTGTCAAAATACCCTAAACAACCTCAAACATTTAAAATTTTAACTGGGCTTGAGCATGCACATGGCAAGCAAAGATGTCTTCTAGCTATCATGAATAAAATATGAATTTTACAATGGATGTTGATCAAAAAGTTACAAATAACTGTATTGACATTGAATAGTGCAGTGTTACTCTTCTGATGACATGACTCTTGGATTTAGGAAGATTGATGTTTTAACACATATTTATGGAAACATCTTTTGGTAAGTACATTGGATTAGAATTTCCACCATTTTGAATAAGTGTATATGCTCTTTTAGTTCAAAATAGTGATATTTAAAGTGTCTTCTTAACTTTTTAGAGTGAAGAAAAATTTTAGACAATATATTTATGCATTAATTTATATATTATCAAAATGTGTAAGACAGGAGACATATTTATTTTATTATTAAGACAATTTGTTTTAGAAAGTATTTGGTATAAAACTAGAGATCTGGGGTATGACTGCAAAATAAGACATCTATCCACAAATGACGGATAAATATATATAATTTTTTCTGGTTGAACAACACTTTCTGTTTTGAGTATTTCAATATATATCTAAATACTTCTCCTTGCATAAAGATTAATATGGCTGCAGGATTAACTAGATTTTATTTTTTTTTTTTTTTTTTTAACACTTGAATAAAGTTTTATTGCACTAAAGCTGTTAACAATGACCTTACCGCTACAGCTTTAACAGTAAGGTACCCCGATATTGTTAATATCTATAAGAACAGGGTTTCATATAGATAAGTAGTATTTTCTTATATTTTATATTAGTAATAGTACAATTATTAGATTTTATTTACTAGATAATAACTTTTAAAAAGCAAGGATAAAGCTGTCATGTAGTCTGTTGTGTGTTAAGATCTTTCAGCAGTATTTTGGCTATATAAAATACACAATTTAAATTTATTTTTTCTACAATGTGTAGTCATCAGTTTGCAATGACCAGATACATGTAATGCTCAACTTTTAAAGACCTGGCCCTCAACTATTGGCCACCTAGCCCTCAACTTTTAATGACCTGGCCCTCAACTATTGGCCACCTAGCCCTCAACTTTTAATGACCTGGTCCTCAACTGTTGGCCAGGTAGCCCTCAACTCTAATTGCTCAACTGTTGGACACCTAGCCCTTAACTATGATATTTTCTCAACCTTGCTCAACTAATTTGCATAAAGTTGAGCATTTGATAGTTGAGGGCTACCTAATTTGCATGGCAAAAATCCAGGTAGCCCTCAACTGGCCCTCAACTATTTGCTCAACTGATGGCCAGCTAGCCCTCAACTGGCCCTCAACTGTTTGTTCAACTGGCAGCCAGTTGAGCAATGCAGTTGGCCATCCTATCATTTTTTCTGTATGGGAATCGCATGAACTCAAATTAAAGAGCAAAATTAGGTGCTTTGACAGGGTAAGCATCTCCTGCTATGGATGCGTTACTTTTATTACAAATATTTTTTTTCCATCAGTTTTTCAATTGCAATTTTTTTACAATTAACTATGAAATTAAATATGAATTGTATAAAGACTTTGAAAGAAATAAATTTTTTTCACGATGACAATTTTCCCACAATAATCCATAGTTTTTAAAATGATGCATGCCACCGTGGTTTTTCTCATTAGAAATAACATTAAAAAAAACACTTATAACTCATGAAACTCTTCCCTAAAATGTTAAATGTATGTAAAGTCATGACAGTTGGGAATCTAGTGGCAAAAAAGTATCATGAGTATAGAAAGACAGGAAAAAATACCACATTATTGATTTATATGCAGCAAAGAGTAACACTTTGAAACTAGTTAAAGGCAAATTTAAACAGACCTTATTATGATAGATATAAGAAGATGTGGTATGAGTGTCAATGAGACAACTCTCCATCCAAATCACAATTTGTAAAAGTAAACCATTATAGGTCAAAGTACGGCCTTCAACATGTTAACATTACATGTAAATTCATCAAGAAGACTGCACATACATGTACAATAATCGAGATGATCTAATCTTAAAATTTCAAAAAAAAATAAGAAAAATCTTCTAACAAATAATCTACTTTGTAAAAATAATTCATTTTAATTTTTTAACCTGAACAGACAAATATAACTTTCAAATCATTATATTCAAACACAGACAATATATATATACATGTATATTGAAACTTCTCATGACAATGAACAGGTTGTAGAGCTTGAAAACTTAGTTGTGGGAAACAGGTTTAAATCTGTAACATGCTAAGGACAATGTGGAACACTCTGAAATTGGTGGCTGGAAAGAGCTTTAGATTTTGTATGTTCATGATTTTTCCCAAATTTATTCTATCAATAATGCAATATGCAGGATATAGATAAACATTCTCTAAATTTCAGTGTAACAAGCTTCTTATGCAATTACCTTGATAAATAATGAACATAAGACACTATGTATTTGCATTTATATTTTAAATACATGTAACATATTTCAACAGATAAAGGTACTTTCATTTATAAAATGTAAATGTACAATTATGGTTTAAAAATTACTTTTCATCAATGTCATCAATGTGGTTACAGGTGTAAACAAATTATTGATTTTTTTCCACTTTTTCTTAAGACAATGTTAGAGTCACTTTTTTTATTGTTCTTGTGTCAAGAATCTGGGTCCGTTCGCCCAAAAACACGTTCGCGCCCATTCACGTTCGCCCCCTTTCACTTTCGCACCCTACACATTCGCACCCAAAGTCCGTTTGCACCTACACGTTCCCACCCTTTTTATTGGTTTTGTGTTTAATAATTTTGTAATGGAGTTTTGGTAAGTGTATTGCTGTAAATATTTTTTTTCATTGTTTCAAAATAAAGTGAGATTCTGACAACATTTTTTGTGTTGAATAAATCTTAATCATCTTTTGGTTAGTGTATTTCTATAAAAAAAAATTTCATTGTTTCTAAATAAAGTGAGATTCTGAAAACATTTTTTGTGTTGAATAAATCTTAATCATCTTTTGGTTAGTGTATTTCTATAAAAAAAAATTTCATTATTTCTAAATAAAGTGAGATTCTAACATTGTTTGTTTTTTTGTGTTGAATAAATCTTAATCATCTTTTGGTTAGTGTATTGCTATAAATTTATGTTTTCATTGTTTCAAAATATAGTGAGATTCTCACGTTTTTTTTGTGCTGAATAAATCTTAAACTATGTTTTAGTTAGATATATTTTTTTCATTGTTTCAATTTAAAGTGAGATCAAAGGGGCCAAGCTGTTAAAATCAATTATCTATCGTGTTTTTCTTTTAAAATTTTCAATGTTTTACTCATACCAATTAAGCTAAATACATGCAGTTTTTACATCAAAGCAAGTTAAAACAACAATCATGATTTTCAAACACACAACAATAATACCAAATTTGGTTGTGTATAAATACCAATTAGCAGTAATTATACATTTGTACATAATTAACATTTAATAATTAATCATCAAATTGATGGGGAAAAAAAACAAAAAACATTCATATAATAATTCCCCAATTTTATTCAGGAAAATATTTTTTTTTTGGGTATATACATATAAATAAAATATCTAATAATTCAACTTGAATTTAAATAAAAATTGGGTGCGAACGTGTAGGGTGCGAACGTGTGGGGTGCGAACGTGATGGGTGCGAAAGTGTATTGGGCGCAATAGGACCTGATACCTTGTGTCAACATGTATGACAGTATCTACCTTTTTCAGCAAAGAATTTGATCAATATTTTCAATGCTGTCAATTTCTCATCAGAACAAGTTGATTTTTTCCTATCAAGCTTAGACTGGAGGAAACTGTATCCTGATTCAAATAGCTGAGACATCAAAATTCCATACCACTGGTTTTCTCTTTGGTCTACTTTCCTCTTTAGATCGCAGGTTGCACCGGAAAACGCATGGTTTGCATTTGCATTACAGTTACTACCAAACTTGAAAAATCTAAAGAGTGTGGATTTAGAAAGAAACTGCTGAAATGGGACTTTATCAATAAGGAATTTTTCTTTTTTGATGCTGCATGACGGCTTCGAAGTTTTATGAGCCATTTGTTCAGATTAACACATTTAAAGTCGTGCTTCACTGGGAAATTATAAGTAATGGGGAAAGAAACTAACAATATTATGCTGCAAGCTGAAAAGATCTTCTTTCCTCTATATCTCCCTCCGATAGTTGGAGTACACTAAATTTTACCAATTAAAAATACATTGATAGATTGTTAGTGTTTAACGCCACTTTCAGCACTATTGGCTATATCGTGGTGGTCATTTATTGGTGTGGGAAGCCAGAGTGCATGGAGAGAATCACCGATCTTCGGTAGGAAACCCGTGACAATCCCACGTGCTAGGTTGACTGAATTTTTTGAAAATATATTTCATGCTTTTTTATGTGCATTCAGAAAAGGTCATGGATGTCAGACAACTTTGCTTAGAATCCTTGAAGATTGGAAAACAGCTTTGGATAAAAATATGTATGTGGCAGCTATACTTATGGATCTTTCGAAAGCTTTTGACTGTCTACCAGTCGCGTAGCAACCCGTACGCAAAAACGCAGTTGCGTACACATCGGAAATTTGACAAAAATAAAAATATGGCAAATCTAGTAATAATAAAACTAAAGTAATAGAATTAATTAAAAAGTATTATAAAAAATATGCTAATAATCACTTTGTAACTATATTTCGTTCCGGAAACTAGTCTACTTTTTTCATGTACGGAACAAGCATCGTGATTGTGTTGCTGATGCAGACATTAAAATAGCTGAGTCCTCGGGGTGTCAGAACACAATTGTTACGGCTGCAATGCCTCTTTAACCTGACATTTCTGAAGATTTCAAAATAACTGATAAAATAAAATATGACGTTCTTGGGCAACAAGTCATTCTTATGATTATCCTGTGAGATATGTATAGTCATACATACGTCGTCATAACAGATTTTTTTAAACAGTCCAGTCAAACTTAATATAAACTTAAGATTGTTAATGGTAATTTTCTTACAACGTCTTCGCCGTTTTTTTTTTAATTTAACGATCAACGTGTTTTTACTTTTTTATTCTACGTTCGGTCGTGCAAGACGGGTGCCTCGTTCAGCATGTTCCTTCGATTTAACTATACATGCCTCGAGATTAAAAGTGCTTATTCTCCATGTTCATTTAAAGTGCTTGTTCTCCTTGCTTGGTAAAAATAAAATACTCTCGTTTTGTAGATAAATAGAAATCGGAAATACTGAATTTGGTGCTTTTCCTTGTAGATTTCGGGACTTCAAACGTATTTATATATAGTTAAAGGTTTCCTAATTATGATATTATAAACAAGGATTTATACTCGGGAAACTTTAATATACAGTACTTAACGTAGACTACCACATGATATTCTTTTAAGTAAATTATCTGCCTACGGTCTTTCTTCTAAATCAGTGAAATTACTTCAAAATTATCTTACAGATCGTAGGCAACAAATCAAACTTCAGGGAGTACTCAGCAGTTGGGCTGACATCCAGAAAGGGGTACCCCAAGGCTCAATCCTGGGACCCCTATTATTTAATATTTTTATAAATGACATATTCTATTTTATTGAACATCGTACCCTGTATAATTATGCTGATGATAATACTCTGTCATATGCTGACAACAATTTTGAAAATTTATTGTGTACACTTGAAAGAGAAAGTGCTGTTTTAATTGACTGGTTTAGATTTAATTGTATGCATACACAAGAATTAGGGACAGCTCAGCGGGGGTAGCGTTATCAGTGACCAACAACGGAGCACTTTTGGACTGATAAAATTTTACATTGTTGTATATGGAAAAAACATGACAGTTGCTTTAAAATGATTTGTCAACATTTTATTTGTACAATCATAAACTATTGCCATGGCAGGTGAAAAAGTTATTAGATTTATCTTTATTTTGATGTAAAAAAAATTATTTTATGTTATTTTAAAGTGGTGTCCCTAATGATTTGAAAATTTCCCATGAAAAGATACGTTTTTCCTACATAACTTAACCAAATTCAATGATGACGAGTGGTAGTAAAAAAATCCTATAAAATTCATTATTGCAGTGACATTATTTCGCCATGTCCCAGGTTATTTTTGTATAATTCTTCTTTCTGAAGTTGCAAAAAAAAATATTTTAAGTTTACATTTGATGGTGTCCCTTGAAGTTTGAATATGGTGATTATTTCGTTATCAAACATCAGTTCATGTATACGTATATTGTAAAGAACTGAAACCGATATCTATACATACCATATTGGGAAAGACGGAAAATGTTTGATATAAGATAGCGTCGAAACTTAAAAAAAAAAAAATAATAATGTTAATAATTTTTCAATTATTGTTTAAAATAAATTCATGATGACGAACATGTTAAATTGAATTTTAGTCCTTATTAAAAATTGTTAAACTTTTAAACATTATCCGGATAATTTAAATATATAGATAGAACTTAAACACATTTTGTATGATTAAAAAATTGCAAATGAATTACAAAGAGCTTATTTGCAGTACACACCTAATGACAAAGGAAAAAATATGAATTTGAAATTCTGTACTAAAAGTTGGATGATGAATTAATTAAAAATGCAAAGCATAGCATTTGTGTATTGCTATTAAAGTTTTGTAGGGTTCGGGAAAAGTAACATTTAATTGTTTTTCTTTCTTGTAAACACTTATAATGTATAATACATATTTTATTTATTGGAAGGAAAAAGATATGTTCACATGCCAAGAAATTGCCTCCGTTGAAATTTTGCAAACATCCCATAGAGCAAATTACATGGATGATTAATTTTGAACATTTGGTATATGGCTGTGTTTTAAGTGAGACGTACACGCGGGTCATAAATTAATTTATTGAATGAAATCAAATCTTTAACTACTAATGGATGCCGTAGGAGGTCGACCGGAATTTTTAGCGAGGATTTCTTGGCATGTAACAGATAGAAAACTCAGGGTAAACATTCATAGAACCGAGACAAGCGGCAGTGGCAAATATTTCATGTATATTTTGAACACAAAGAGGATTACCCCGGTACCCTTTGCCAAAAATTATCTTCTTTTTCTTCTATTTGCCAACGGACTTTATGTTATGAATTTTAGTTTCACTTTCCATATTCGGTATTTACTTTAATTTAAGCTCCACGTAGTAAAAATCACGTGATTCAGGAATATAGTATCTTGGAGTTAGACTATTTCTTTCTTTTCGGGCGGGGACTCCAAGCAATCAACATGCATGTGTAGAACGGCACTGTAGATTTTCTTATTAAATAAAAAAAGTTGCCGGTCCGGTACATGAATAGATCGGTTAGAAATCAAAGTTTTAGTTTTAATTAGATTAGAGGGTTGAAAATAGAGAGCACAAAAAAAGGGGTGGGGGTGGGGGTGTTCCACAGGGAATATTTCCTTCTTATGAACTCTACATCTGAAAGGTTTAATTTTTGTTTTATTTAATTGAAAGAGAGAAAAACAAATGTAAGACAAATTGTGAATGGTCTTTCTTCCTTTCTCCCATGCCAAGAAATTGCCTCCGTTGAAATTTTGCAAACATCCCATAGAGCAAATTACATGGATGATTAATTTTGACCATTTGGTATATGGCTGTGTTTTAAGTGAGACGTACACGCGGGTCATAAATTAATTTATTGAATGAAATCAAATCTTTAACTACTAATGGATGCCGTAGGAGGTCGACCGGAATTTTTAGCGAGGATTTCTTGGCATGAGTATCGTTTATTGTGTTCTTATCTTAACCATATTAAGGTGTGAGTTTAAACAACAACCACCCGTTGTTTTATCATCTGCCAGCTATTCAATTAATGAAAGATGTAGACCGACATTCATGCTGATTTTGAATATCAATTGACAGTACCATGGAAGTATTATATTGACAGGAACTCCAACGAAAAATTATATAATATAATACTTCCATGACAGTACTAAAAGTTTAATGTACACGTAACGTATAACTCCGTCAACTTCTGTACTCAGGGATGTTTATACATGAACATATATAGCCCCGTCTAACATGTCTTGTGTGCATGAGAGATTTAACCAAAATTTTGAATGTTTAAATATTGGAATGATTCGTTCATTGTTGAAGACCCTACATCAAGATGAAGAACGGGAATAAAAGCCCTGTCCATTGATAATTTTCTATGTTTTCTATGTATTGTGTGCGATTTTGTCCCATGTACATTTACGGAGTCCATATCCTTTTATTTTCTATCCAATATGTTAATTGTGCATCTAGAACATTCAAATGTCCGATGATATAAAAAAAAAAACTTATTCAACAGTTAAATTATAATAATAAATTCAAAAACAGTTGGGCACTCTCTTTGACATATCATTTGATATCTGCAACAGGTTTTCTGATTTTTCAAAAATAAATTACTTTGCCTTTCAATATCAGTGTAATCATTTCTATCAGACCAAACTTTTTCTATGAATGAAGGTAGATGTGGGGTATAAGTAAATGCAGAAGTCATGAACTTCTGGTAAATGAGATAGCAACCCAACCATGCACATACATAACTTAAGACATCTAGAGAGCAAAATAAAGCCTTCTCCAAAAGACAGGCTCTTACAGGGCAACTTAGATACTCAACAATAGACATGCCTTTATAAAAATGTCAAGATCTAAATCGCCCAGAGTCAATACGTTCAATGTGAATTTAAAAAAAAAACTATGTGGTGTTTGCTTACATCCTCGTTTTTCAGTCTCTGGTGGATTGTTTTCTAATATTGACAATAATACCACATCTTCTTATTTTTCTTAAGGTCTGTTATAAACACAAACATTCTCCAAATAACGAAAACAAATAAGATATGACATACGACAACAACTTACGAGGTCCCCAAATTTGGACAGGTACCAGTACATGTATATGGAAATGTGTTCGAGTTAAACTTACTTTTGTAGGTCTCAACCCTCCCCCTTATGAATCTCAGTATAGATTAACAGAACGTGCATAAAAGAAAATACAAAACAGACAAGTTCTAGAAAAGAACTTAACTCTGGTTTGTTTAAGTTTATGCCACACATCTTGTTTTTGGTACCGAATTTTGCTATCCTATGCCTTTT